TGAGGTCGGCTGTTATAGGATCCATACTTTTGTATGACAAGAGATGTAGCACCACGTCTTGGCTATCACAAACCAGCACTCCTTCATTAAACTTTCTTTCTAGCACTTCAAGGACCACAATCCAAGATGTCCGCCAGTGATCTAACATCATTCATCTTTCTTAAGGATACTCCAAAGGAAATTGAGCAAAAAATCAACAAGTATGCTTTTTCTGGTGGATGTGACACAAAAGAAGAACACAAGAAACATGGTGGTAACACTGATGTTGATATCTCTTATCAATACTTGACCTTTTTCATGGAGGATGATGAATGTCTGGCAGAGATAGAAAAGGTAGGAATAGCATAACAAATATTTAACTTATAATGTTTTAATTTAGAATTATAAGAGTAGAAAACTGCTTACTGGACAACTCAAAAAGAGCTTATTGGTGTGCTTCAAAAGCTTGTTGGGGATCATCAGGCAAGGCGTGCTGAGGTGACTATGGATGTTGTGAAGCAGTTCATGACTCCTCGTCCTCTGAATTTTAAGCTGTCAGCTTAAGGATCAAAAAGAACTTTTTGCTGTCTCTGTTTGACTGTAATGTTAATTATTTTTGCTATTAGTTTTACTGTTATAGCTAGATCTATTACTTTGATTTTTTTGATTTGAATATTAATTTTACACCAGTGGTGCATATAGTGCGTATGGTGTGTATGGGTTCATTTGCCTGAAAATAATTTTATACAAAGTAAAATCAGGATCAACATGAAATAAATCTTAAACGATACACATACTAGATCTAGACAAAACACCTTTAAATGGTATACATGATCAAAACAGTTTCCTTGAAAAACAACCCACCCAAAGTATTCCTTCACATAAATCAAATTAAAAGATGGGTGTATCTATCATGAATAAGGTAATAACCATCACATGATATGGGAAAGAGAACCACACAGTGTATCATGATTTACATTGTACTGTACAATGTAAATCATGATACATTGTGTACTGATATTCCTTTTAATTGATTATCTATCCTATCCATACAGTGGCAAATTTAATTATTCATCAGTTGGATTTCAGCTAGTGTGTTACTAAACTTGTATCATTATTTGAATAGGTAATGGCAGCAATTTCAATTGCTATAGATCTAGAATGGTGACATTTAGCATAAAATTGTAAATTTAATGTATTTGTCATGCACATGAGTTATGGACAATGACTATACTCATTAATGTTATGTAAAGCGCAACTCAACAGACTCCGCAGTTATCCTGCAAATGGCTACATCTTTTCCATGGTACCATCTCCTTTATGCATCATATGCAGTCTACTTTTAACTGTTATGACTATATTTTCTGCACAATCACGGCAACTTCTTCACATGCACAGCTTAGTATTCCTGGCTTTTTTACAAGTTGAACATGGTATGATAATTTATGCATGAGTAAATAACAATAGTTTCACCATACTCCTTTGCTTATACCAAGCCCCTTTGCTACCCCCTTCTTTATCGTACACTCAATGATTATATAAATTCCAAGAAAATGTAGAATTAGAAGACTGGAAGTTGCAGGTGTGGTCAGCGCACTTAGCATTGCCGAGGCTGCTGTGCCCAGTCCGTACAGAGATAATGGCAACAGCAGCTCAACCTAAAAAACAAATTGTTGATCCCTGGACAGCTACAGCTGGGGAAGGGGAAAAAAAGATCAACAATGAAAAGC